ATTCCTGCTCACCCTTGCACAGCACTGCTGGCTTTACAGCACTTCTGGGTTCAAATCCCACAGACGTACAAGAAGCAGGGCCACTAAGGAAGATGCTGTCATTTTCTTAAAGTACCAAAATGGCCCCAGATAAAAAGTCCCCAAATTGTCCTCCTTTTTTTCTATTGGATTTAAAAAAAAATTGCTGTATCTGAAATGGAAAAGTTGTCTAGCTTTTTCTCCAGTGCAATGAAGAAACAAATGTTTCACTTTATGATGAGAACACTGACTCTGCACCAGGATCTGATGCCTCAACAGTACAAATGATTAATACAGGGTAACAGCATTCAAGCCATGGGTCAAACTGTGGTTGAGAGAGCTAAAAAACCACATGCCAGTGAGCATCCTCAGTCCCACCTGCAACAGTTCCTAAAAGAATTTAAAAACATACTAATGCAAGTCACCATTTATAATATCATATTGCTCATGAGACCACAAATGGAAGACAGATGATTATAGAGGAAAGAAGAAGAAAGCACAAGACATCTATACTCATTTATATCTTAAGAATTGGTTTAGAGCAGAGTATTTTCTTTTCCAAAGCATAAAGACCAACTTTAAGCTCCCTAAGTGGCAAGGCAGTAATGAATATCTGGGTTGCTTCCCTTTGCCTGGGAAACCCCTAACTGAGTCATTTCACTAGTCTCAGACAATGGCTGCTGAAATAAGCAGTCCCTGCTAAAATAAGAGACTTAGATCTCAGTGTAAATCCTGCTCCTTCCTCCATATAGAAAGAAACATTTCTGCCTAGTGTCTCACAAGTGAGACCTCTTGAAGGGCACACTAAAGGTTTACTTCAAGGTTGACATCCTCATGAATCAATTCTGCAAGAACAGTACTCCTCCAGTCTTCAGATGCCTCCACCTTTATGCAGAGTTCCTAGTGCTATAGCCAGCTACTCAGACACAATACTGAGTAAAAGAAAAACAGCTGCCAGTCTAGGTCAGCAGTGTAAAGTGACAGGAAGTACAGACCAGAAATGGGATGTGAGCCACGAGCAGGCCACTCTGTCTCAGACATGCTACCAGAAAGTGCATTATCTGGATACAAGACTTCAAATGAACAAACTTCAGAAAATCACTGACACATTGCAAACAGAAGCATTGTACAGGAGGCAGCTTTCAGGAAGGCCTGAACTTGAATCCCTTCCAAAATCTGCATGTTCCATTTCTTACAAAGACTTCAAGCCCAGACATTTGGATCGACATACAGTATGGGAAAACCCAGTTCGTCTAAGTAAGCCAGGCTTATGGCTAGATGTAAAGAGTGAGGAAAGCATAATTTTGTTGCACAAGCTGAATGGATCCCTAGCTGTGAGGTTCCTCGGCGCCAGACAGCACTGCTGGAGCTGCAGCATTCCTTCTCTAAGACAGCAGCACAAAAATCTTTTCATGATTCCATAAAAGGAGAGACAAAAGACCTCAGAGATAACAT